AAATGAGGATTGGTGGAACCCTCAGAATCATTTTTGAAAATGACCCAAATAAAAATTTCTCCAAAAGGGTCCAAGAAAATGCTCATGTTGCTCTCTGAAAATATTGGACAGAGATAAAAATCAAACCAATATTTTTAGGAGCTCATGGATATTTAATTTTGGCCATTTGGATTAATCCGATAAATATTTGCATTGGAAATATATTTCTATATATATGAAATATGGTCCAAAAATTATGCCATTTATAAAGGAGCTCTGGAATAATATATCTAGCTCCTGCAAAAATTGGCATAAGGTAATAAATTGATTTAGTATTTTATTAAATCAAAACAATGTCAGAAAAATTAGAAAACAAAAATAAAAAGAAGGAGGGGCTTACCTGGGGCTCCCCCCTGTCGGCCCAGCCGCAGCAGGCCGGCCCAGCCAGCAGGCGGCCCAGCCCACCTGCCCCCCCCTCCTCTGTCGTCTTCCTCCCCGACAGGGGGACGGCGCGTGCCCGACGCGCGCGCACCGCCGCGCCGCGCCACCTCCTCCCTCCCTGCCTGCCTGTCCTCCCCTCGTCGCTCTGGATGGACCGGACGACGCCACGCGACGCCCCGCATCTCTCTCCCACTCTCTCATTCCTCCCCCTCCCCTGGTTCTCTCTCTCCCTCGCACACCCAAGCGCCATCGCCGCCGCCGCTCGCCGTTGTCGTGGCCACCGGCCTCCCCTCGCCTCCCTGACACGCTTCCCAGCTCCGCCACGACCCCCTCTACCTCCTCGTCAAGCCACGCACCTCCGGACGCGCTCCATCGCCGACGCTGTTGTCTTCTTCACCACCGACGCCGGAGATCGACCTCGCCGCCATCGCCGTCGATTCGCCGGACGCAGGACGTCCCCGAGCACACCGGCCTGCTCTGCGAGTCCGTCGTGAGCCCCTCTTCCTTTCCCCTCACCTCTCTCTCTCTCGCGCGTGCCCTGTAGCCGCTGCCCCGCGAGCGCCCGAAGCCGCCGTCCGCCATGGCCGGCGAGCTCCGTGCCCCCGAGCACCTCCGCCTCGCGTAGTAGCTCGATGTGCTCCTGCTGCCTCGTAGCTACCGCCTATGCCCTCCGTTCGCTCGAACGCGAGCTGCAGCCCCACGCCCGCGCTATCCCAAACTCCGGTCGCCGCCCAAGTGGTCGCCGCCGGCGATATAGACCGTCTCCGGTGAAACAGATGGCGCCACAGGATGCGCGCGAGCCTGGGCTTCGCGTAGGTGCTCTCCGCCGCGCGATTGGTCGCCGGAGCGACGATTCCGCAGCCCTCCGTCGCGTTCAAGCCTCGCCGGCGACTAACCGCCGGCGGGTTTGACTTGTTTGACCTGGGATTTGACCCCCCAGGGTCGCTGACTAGTGGGGCCAGGCCCTGCTAATTTTAGTTAAAAAATAACTAAACCTAATTAGCCACTAACACTGACCAGTGGGCCCGACCCCCCCTAATCTGTTAATTAAGTTAATCTAACCCTGTTTAACCCCCTGTCACTGACGTGTGGACCCCACACGTCAGGTTTGACCCCAGCCAGCCGCAGTTAACCGCTGACGTCGTGCTGACGTCATGCTGACGCAATTATATATTTTCTGAAATTAAAATAATTCAGAAAATCCAGAAAATGATTTAAACTTCAAAAATTCATAACAATTCAACCGTAGCTCAGATTAAAATAATTTATATATGAAAAATTATCAGAAAAATGCAATCTTTCCATCTGTACTAGTTACATGCATGACAAACCAACTTATACATGCTGAATATGAGAAAACACATTATGGCACATTAAGAGACGTAATTTTGGAGTTGCATTTGAACCTTTTGTTCAAATGGACTTCATTCAAATTGAATACTAGTTGCATTAGCTCAAACAGCATCACATCTACATGCCATGTTCATGCATCATATTGTTGCATATGATTGTGTATTGATTGCCGGCACCGTTCCTTCTCGATAGGTCCTGCTCCGGAGACGTTCCAGAGTACCTGTCTGTGAAGCAGTGCCTCCCTTGTTGATTACCAGGCAAGCAAACCCCCTTGTTCATTCGATAAAACCCTACTCTCTCGCTCCTGCTCTCAGTTACTGCATTAGGACAACAACGGTTCGTCTGCTACTTTGTGCTGCGGTAGTTGAACCCATTCCTCTGCATGACCTGTCATTGCCACAGTAAATAGTTGAAACCCACTAGCATGTGTAGGAGTTGATTGAAGCCACTGATGTGTTCCTACCATGCTATGCCTGCTATTGCTTAGAGTTGTGTCAGGTCTGATTCATTGGGAATGAATTGGAGTGTTACGATATATTCTGATGCTGAGAGTTAAGTGTGTGAACACGATTTGGTAAAGGTAGTGGTGAGAGGCCATGTAGGAGTACATGGTGGGTTGTCTCACTGGAACCGTCCTTAAGCACCGAGTTCTATGTATGTTGTCCAATGACCCGATACTACCACACATTGGGCTCCGGGCGCTCCAAGCCCTCTCGACTTATTAACCGACTTGATCTCTGTCCAGGAATCGCAACTAGTTTCTGGCGTTTGTAGGTAGTGCTATTTTTCTACCAAGTGGCACCCGGCAGGGTGGGCTTGGGACAGACTAGGCACACGTGGCCTGGTGTACCGAGTGGCACCCGGATGGTGGGCTCGGGAACCCTGTACACATCGTTTGGGGCCGTAAGCGACACCCCGGCCGGATCTCCTTACGGATGGAACCCGAATAGGCGATAAACCTGGATTAGAGTCTTGTGTGGTTAGTCAGGTCGTGGCCGACACCCTCGCCAGGCTTCCGCTTGAAGGTTGCCGAGATACATGACGTGTACATGGCGGTAAGTGGCGAGAGCGTGTGTGAAGAAGTACACCCCTGCAGGGTTAACATGATCTATTCGAATAGCCGGGTCCGCGGTTATGGACTTCTTGGATGCTTACATGGTACATAGACAACTTGAAGTGGATACTATAAAATGCTCAAGACATGTGTGAGTGCTATGGATGGCCTTCTCGTAGGGAGACGGGGATGAATCCATAGTAGTGTATTGTGTGGTGATTAGTGGACTCGTGTACGTTGTTTCACCTCAAGAGTTTCTGGTAGTCGTAGAACAGGATAGCCACAGAGTCAAAGCTGGCTTGCTGCAACTAAACCCCACGTTACCCTCTTGATACAAGTGCATGTATGATAGGATCTGATGTAAGTCTTGCTGAGTACCTTTGTACTCATGTTGCTTTATTTATGTTTTTGCAGCGGAGACTTCGGTCTTACTAGTGTTCTCGTGGACTTCGACTAGTATCTAGTACCTCAGCTACGATCTTGATCGGATGTTGTAGATAGTCAGGCTTTCAGCCTTTTTCATTTATAGATGTCTGTACTCAGACATGTAATGCTTCCGCTTGTTGCTTGATTGCTCTGACTGTTGGGTCATGTGACCCCTGTTTGTAATAATGCTGTGATGGCTCTTCTGAGCCTTTATCTATATAAGTTGTTGAGTTATGCTGTGATGCCATGTTGTACAGCACATACCTGCATGTTATGCGTACGTGTAATGTGTATTGCTATGTGTGGGATCTGACTATCTAGTTGTTTATTCTTAGTAGCCTCTCTTACCGGGAAATGTCTCCTAGTGCTTCCACTGAACCCTGGTAGCTTGCTACTGCTCCGGAACACTTAGGCTGGCCGGCATGTGTCCTTCTTCGATCCTGTGTCTGTCCCTTCGGGGAAATGTCACGCGATGAATACCGGAGTCCTGTTAGCCTGCTACAGCCCGGTTCACCGGAGTCCTGTTAGCCCAGTGCTACAGTCTGGATTCACTCGTTGATGACCGACACGTTCGATGCTGGGTCATGGATGCCTGTCCCTGTAAGTGAGTGCCACTTTGGGTTTACGACTAGCCATGTCAGCCCGGGCTCTTTATCATATGGATGCTAGCGACACCATCATATACGTGCGTCAAAATGCGCAAACGGTCCCGGGCAAAGGTAAGGCGACACCCGTGGGGATACCGTGCGTGAGGCCGCAAAGTGATATGAGGTGTTACATGCTAGATCGATGTGGCATAGAGTCGGGGTCCTGACAACGCTAGGGTGGAACAGCACCGATATTTCCTTCACTCACCAATAACCGTTTTCTGTTGCAGACGGATCGGCTTCTTCGTCATTGGCTACAAGGAAAGGGGCACCTTGCAAACGAGATGATGATTCTCACGACAGCAAAAGAAGGGGATGTTCAGGGACAGAGCTACCAGAGGTAGTAATATACATCCATAAATTTGAAGGGCAGACCTATATATGCTGCAGAAATTGATTGACAACCAATGCTAGCTAAATGAGATTTAGTTTATTTTTCTGCGCTACAATCTCCTCTCCTGTAGTCCTCCTGCTGCATTAGTTGTTCTGTTTTCTGTTCTGTTCCAATCGTTCGTCCAGATTCAGGCTGCAAGTGGAGATGGGATTAAGTAGGACTACTTAGCCCATCCCACTTAATCTTCTTTAATGAAATCCCATTGGAAAATAATAATAGTAATCGGGCTAGCCCACTTATCCCATTGGATCCCATAAGAAGCCCACTTAGATATCGTCGTGTCCGAACAAGTAGAGCGAGGGCGGTGCCACAACGTACTCCCGCCGCCGCCAGTCCGCCATCGCGTTCCTGCTTCTTCCTCCTCACACCGCACCGCCCCCGGCGGCCTCCCCATCACCGAAGCTGTCAGCGACCTGGGCCTCGCTGGGCCTCAGGCACTACCCAGCCCATGAAGGAGACGCACTACATATACAGGGGAAGGCCTCCACGAGCAACTCGGCTTGGATCAGGACGGCGGCTTCGGCCGAGGCTTGGCTTCATCTTCCTCCTTCCCCTTCTGTAATCTCTATCTCTTCCTCCTGTATCTCCAGCTTGTAACTGAATTCATGGCAATTGATTGAATTAGCAGAGAGAACCTCACAATTGGCATCAGAGCCGTTCGATTCTCCACCAAATATCCACCCCAGAATTTTCCCCACCCAATTCCATGGATTTTCCACGACGGCGTGCCGAGCTCCTGGCGACTCTCTCGTCGGAGGGTCGGGCGACGTATGAGGTGCTCAGGGCCCAGCTAGCCCGTGATGTGGACCGGTGCTTTGCTGAGTCCAAGGCGAGGCTAGAGAAGGGCATGGAGGCGGCGCTCGGCGACCTCCACACCAAGCTGGACCGGACTATCGGCGACCTCCGCCAGAAGGTGCGACCACGGCCGTAGGTGCGCCCCTGCGGCGGCAGCCTCTACTGCGACAGCGCCTGCTATGTCGACGTCGGCTGGGAGCCATGTCTTCCCCGACCCCAATCACGGCCCCGACCTGTCGTCTTCGACTTCGTCAACGACGAACACGGCCAGGCCTATGCGCGTCTCGAGCAGCAGCATCACCACCGACGGGTCCCATGAGTTGGAGGTTGCTGCCTCCTCCTCCGACCCCGCTCCAGCGGCAGCGGCCACGAGCATCTCCGTGTGGAGCGCGACTGCCGTCGCCCCCGCATCAGGCGGCGTTCCCTCCCTCGTCGCGTCGGCCACCACCCGCTCGACGAGCCCAGGAGGAGACATCGATGCGGCACCAGACGCCAACCCTCTGGTGTCCACGGGTCCCATCGGCATGCCTGCGTCCACCATGCAGAGCGAGCCAGACCATGTGCGTGAGACGCCCATCACCTGTTCGACGCTTGGCCTCTACCCCGTCGCCAACGCCATTCAGATCAACAAGGTGCCCCTACCTGAGATTGCTGTGTCCCCAACACGATCTGCAGCCTTCTCCACCTCCACCTTCATGGCTGCAGTGTCCGCCTCACTCGATTCAGAACTTGCTCTCGCCACGCCCACCATGTGTTCGACCGAGTGCCCTGGAGAAGAAAACAGTGAAACAAGGACCACGCCCACTTCTACAGCAGCGCCGCCGGCATCCTCGACCAGTGCTATTCCTGCTATGTGTGAGGTGAGCATAGAGGTCAATTCCATGGCTCTGATGGATATAACCAGTTCGTCTCCAATCCTCACAAAGGTCACAACCACCCAAGCATTGTCGCCTACCAAGTGTTCGACAGAAGGCCTGAACGGCGAGACCAGTGTGGCTTGTCTCAAGTATTCAGTCAGCTCACATCACCAGTTGCAGCAGCACGTGTGGTTCGCCGAGTTCAAAACTGAATTGAGGAAGAGCCGTGAGGAATTGTTGGCAGCCAGGAAGGAGATGAACTCAGTATCCTTGCTCACAATCAGGTTCCTGTTTCAGTGTGTTCCAGGTTATGGGCTATTAACATTATCATGGAATCCAGGACAACACGCAGTTGATTCGGCTGCAACTATTTGCGATCAAGGTATCCGTGCCATTTGTCACCAGCAACTTTCTGTCCATACTAGGCTACAGATTGCATGGTCAGTCGTTTGGGAATTCTCTTGTGTTGGATCAAGGAGGACTGCTGTCAGCTTCTTATTCGATTCAGCTGGTGGTTTGGCAGTTGTTTTATTCAGTACACGGTGCTCGGTTCTTGCATATTGTGTTGCCAATATAGTACCATTTTCTGATCCAGTTGAGTCAGATTCTACTCCGCAAATAATTGAGATGAGGCTTGCTACTCACATCTTTAGTCACAAGACAGCACCAGCAGTCTCGAAGCAGAAGGAAGTGTGTCAGAATCTCAGATGAAGTGTTGTTTCAGCGAGTTGTCTACAATCCTGAATCCTGATGGTTGCCTGCATGACAATAGCACACAACTGTACATCATCACTGATATTGCTAGTAGCGGTTCACCACTGTCGAGCAAGGTTACCACACTGCATCAATTTCAGTCTATTGGATGCTTGGCATCACCATGGGACCATGGTCAACATGCAACTATTGTTCATGAGGGCAAGGTTTCTTGGTCTAGTTCTATGTTTCTACAGGATGGGAAGTTTCAGAATGTTATGGCCATGACGGTCGAACTCAAGACTTGGCCCTCTTGGAGGTTGTGCTTACTGGGTGATCTGGAGTTGAGCAATATTCCTGAATGTTTGATCGCATCACCAAGGTCGCAGTCAGTGCCACTACTGCCAATGCTTGATGAAGCTCTTGGAATCCATTGGAAAATTTCATGGCCAGTTCATTTTTCAGTCAGTGCCACTACTGTCAATGGTAACATGACTGAACCTATCTACTTCACCAAAGAGTTAATTCCTTCTGGACTTGATCCTTCGCGCAGCAACTTGTCTTTCGGTGCTAACTACTTTGAGAAGCTTGGAATTCCAAGACACTTAATTGTCAGTTTTGTTGTGCCCATCTACTGGCCTGATACTGCTCTTATGCTATATGGGTTTGAGCTGCGGCAATGGAAGATTGCTTACTCTTTTAGTGATGCATTATCAGATTCAGCATGCGTACAGTGGAAAATTGCTTGGTCACTCTGCTATGCATGTTCTGTTATTGGCAATGGCAACATCTCGAGGCGAAGCATATATGATTATGGAACAAAATTGAGAAAAGGCAAAGATTGTTTGATGCTCATTAATGATCTATCCCTGTCAGCTGGGATATTGTTTGCACTGGAGTATGCTGAATTTCAAGCAAGCTTGCTAGCTAATTGTGTTGTTATCAGATCGCTCGGTGTTGCCACAGCCAATGGGTTCTTACATGTTCCTGCAGCTGATTGTGATGCCCTGTTCAATTCCGAGGAGAAGCTGTATCAGTGCATCATCCAAATGCTAGAGCTGCAATGGGACCCAGGTGATTGCTTTGTTTTAGTTTGGCGACATGAAAATCTTGCAAGCACACATGATGCCTGCCCCAGGCTTGGTATTACCACTCTTCACGTGACATGGGATCCGAGAGGTTCGACATAATGTCAGTTTGTGGACCAGGCTGAAGACTGGGTTCTAGATGTTTTGCGAGTTCCATGGGATCCCGATGGCACCTTACAACATCGACTTGAGGGCAAGTCGAATCTTATGGGGGAAGGATTGTCAGCGACCTGGGCCTCGCTGGGCCTCAGGCACTACCCAGCCCATGAAGGAGACGCACTACATATACAGGGGAAGGCCTCCACGAGCAACTCGGCTTGGATCAGGACGGCGGCTTCGGCCGAGGCTTGGCTTCATCTTCCTCCTTCGCCTTCTGTAATCTCTATCTCTTCCTCCTGTATCTCCAGCTTGTAACCGAATTCATGGCAATTGATTGAATTAGTAGAGAGAACCTCACAGAAGCCACTCACCTTGCGCCGGCGCGGCAGGACGAGCAGCCGTCGTCGTTCACGTGTGCCGGGGATCTGGGCGCCGAAGCAGGTCGGGGCGTGGAAGCTCGTCGTGGCAGGGTCGTGCACGCCAAGGGCGTTGTCGGGTTGGTGTACTGATCCGTCTGTTGAATTCTCACGGATTTGAATCCTCAGCGAGGACCACATGGCGCTCAGGCTACCGCTGGCCCTGTAGCTCTGCGAGAACTCTGCTGCTGCTGCTGCCGGCATCGACCTCCTCAGCAGGGGCTCGGGGGCCCCGGCCTTCTTGGCGCCCCGCCACTTGGACAGCTCCACGGCCACGCAAGGGCCCTTGGCCATGGCCCTCGCCTCCTCCTCGCCGGCGGCGTACGAGCCATGCTTGTGCTTGAGCCGCTCGTTGCGCCCCGCGGAGTAGAGGTCGTAGAGCATGCTCCTCTCGAACAGCTGGCTGGTCGGCGCCACCGCCGCAGCCCAGTCGTCCGTGCTCGCATCGGCTGTGTGAGCTTTCTTGCTATATCATGCACAACGGACGGATCAGTACAACGAGAACATGGAGCTCGGGCGTCCACACGGATTGGTTACCGCCAGCCTCATTGATGCTGGTGCATGCGCGCATGGGAGCTTGCTAAGTGGGAATCCCACTTATCCCACTTAATCCATATTAGTTTTTGGTGGGATGCCCACTTTCTCTATCAAACTATGTTGAGACCTGGTGGATTGGTGGTGGGACTCCCAACTATAGTCCCACCTGCAGCCTGAGTCCAGATGTATCTCTGCAGCAGAAAACCGTCTGTCACGAGTCTTGTTAAAGAGCAGAAAACTTGTCCGCTCCAGATTCAGTGTGACATATACTCTTAAGCAAAATCTTACCTTTGGGCTGTCTGTTTCTCAAATGCTGGAGATTTCTGATCTTGATGGTCAACAGCCTTGCATACTGACTAGTTACAGCACTAGTGCCACAAAAACTGTCACAGACTTTATCCAGATTAAATTGAGTAGTGCCACACCATCACAACCTATACGGCTAGCTCTCCAATACAATAAGGTTGCAATCAACTTCAGAACTCGAAAGATTGTCGGTTACCATGGGTCACCTTCGCTTGCAAGCACGCACCATAAAGCTTCATATATTATCTAGTAGCTTCTTTAAGAAGTACAGCCTCTGTAACTTAATGTAAGACGTGTTTTAGATGTATGGTAAGTCTAAAAAACGTCTTACATTAAGTTGCAGAGGGAGTAGAACTTAGTAAAACTTTGTCCCGGTAACAGCACGTGATTAAACCCGAGGTCATGGCCATCTTTGAGGAATTTTTTGTGGGTGCCATCGACCTAGGTCGCCTCAACTATGGGATCATCTCCCTCATCCCCAAGGTCCCTGGGGCGTCCGACATCCGCCAGTTCCGGCCGATCACGGTCATTAATGTGATCTTCCGGATCTTGGCCAAAGGGTACGCCAATAGGGTGACCCTGCTGGCTGACCGGATTACGCATCCTGACCAGTCGGCCTTCATTAGAGGACGATATATCCTGGATGGTGTTTTGGTCCTCCATGAGGTCCTTCACGAGGTCCGGTCCAAACACCTCAAGGCGGTTTTTCTGAAGATCGATTTTCACAAAGCCTATGACTCGGTCAGCTGGACCTTCCTCAGAGAAGTCCTTCTTCGGAAGGGCTTTGATGACCGCTGGATCACTAGAGTCATGCAAATGGTCTCTTGCGGTCGCACGGCGGTTAACATCAATGGCGAGGTTGGTCCCTTCTTCCCTACCCTTTGTGGGGTTCGCCAGGGCGACCCCTTCTCCCCGTTCCTCTTCAATATGGTGGTGGACGCCTTGGCTGCCATTCTTGATAAGGCCAAGGCGGCTGGCCACATTCGTGGGATTACCCCACATCTCTCTGGGGGATCCGGAATTTCCATCCTTCAGTATGCTGACGACACGATCATCATGGTCGAAGGCTCGGAGATGGACATCGCCAACCTCAAGTTCCTCCTTCTATGCTTCCAACAGATGTCGGGTCTCAAGATCAACTTTGATAAGAGCGACGTCATGGTAATGGGATACTCCCCCGCTGAGTCTCTGGCCATCGCCAATCGGCTTAATTGCCGCCTGGGCTCTTTCCCCACCTCCTACTTAGGGACCCCCATTAGCGACTCACGCCTTTCTGCAGCGGACTTGAGGCCCGCTATCTCTAAGCTCCAGTCCCGGTGTGAGCCCTGGCAGGGGAGATGGCTCTCCAAGGCGGCCCGAACTATTCTTATCAACTCTTCTCTCTCTAGCCTGCTGCTGTTCCTTATGAGCTTCTATAGCCTCCATGAGTCCCTACATAAGGAGATCGCTAAGATCCAGTCTCGCTTCTACTGGGCTAGTGAGCATGATAAGCAGAAGTACCACATGGTCAGCTGGCCTGACATCTTCAAGCCCCGGGAGCAAGGTGGTCTGGGCATCATGTGCTCCAAGCGGATGAACATCGCGCTCCTCTCCCGCTGGCTCTGGCGCATCGCCCAGGGCCATGGCGGCCTCTGGTTGGACATTATCAGGACTAAATACCTTCGGGGTCAACCCCTTGCCTTCTGCCAGAGATCGGGCGGCTCCCAGTTCTGGCAGTCCATTGTTCAGCTTCTCCCGGTGCTGCGCATTGGGACCTCCATCTCCGTGGGCTCTGGCCTCTCGACTCTCTTCTGGTATGATCGTTGGGCTGGTGACTCCCCCTTCGCGGCCCGCTTCCCCGTCCTTTTCTCTATTTCCGTTGACCCCATGATATCGGTCAATAGGGCCCTTCTTGATCTGGGGCGCCTTGCCTTCCGTCGACCGTTTGGGCCGGCGGAATCCGCCGCCTGGCGTGAGTTGCTTGACTGTGTCGCATTGCACGAGCCACTGGTGGATGACAGGCCGGACCGTACCCGGTGGCGGCTTGAGCCGTCGGGCTTGTTCACCACCAAGTCGCTCTATTCGGCCATCGCCCCTTCCTCCGCACCCCTCCCCTTATCGATGGTCTGGACCGTTCGGGTGCCACTGAAGATTCGCATCTTCATGTGGCAATGGATCCGTGGTAGGCTTCCGTCTGGTGTGGAGGTCCGCAAGCGCAATGGCCCAGGCACCGGTATCTGCCCGCTCTATGGTGTCCCGGAGGACTCAAACCACATCTTCTTCTCCTGCATCTCCGCACAATTCCTCTGGAGCTGCTTTCGCGAGGTGGTCGGAGGGAGTTGGTGCCACACCAACTTCCCGGACCTTTTTGCTGAACTCCAACTGTCCCCCGTATCCTCTCGCCACATTAGGTGGCTGGAAGTTGGGGTGCTTGCTTGGACGTTGTGGACCGTTCGCAATAAACTTGTGATCCAGCGCGCTCCCCTTCGTCGCCCTACTGACGCTCTCTACAAATTCTCGGGTTTCTTGCAGCTTTGGCGGCCGCTTAGTCGCCCCACGGACCGTGACGCCATCTCCGCCTTCATCGCCGACTTCCGATCGATGGCCGTCCGCCTCTCTCCGCCGACGCCGCCGCCACCGCCGGAGCCCGATTAGCCACCTTGTGTTGGGTGCGCTGTGCTGTTGTTGTTCTCTTCTTTTTTGGGCTTGTTGAGCTGTGCCCTCAGCAGAACCTTTGTACTTTTCCTTGAGACTCGTGTGTGTTGGTGTGGACCTATGTGGTATGTATGCTCTGTGGCGGTTGCTTTATTTATAAAGCGGGGCGTAAGCCTTTTTCGGTACAGCACTTGACACCCTACCATATCCTTGAGGACCTTGTCTAAAACCAGAATACCTTCTGTCCCTGAGATCCATTTTGTCTACAAGTTTCTTCTATGGATCTATGCTTCCCCTGCTCATTTTCCTGGCTTCACACTTTTGCGGCGCTGATAATGGTTGGTCGTATTGAGCTGTGTATTCTGTAATCGCCATTGTTCTACCCGGTTTGTTCTATTTATTAAATCTTCTTATCTTAGTGATCAAAAGCCGCTGCCTTGTGACCATGAGGTCACGGGTTCAAGTCCTGGAAACAGCCTCTTACAAAAATGTAGGGAAAGGCTGCGTACAATAGACCCAAAGTGGTCGGACCTTTTCCCAGACCCTGCGCAAGCGGGAGCTACATGCACTGGGGCTGCCCCTTTTTATCTTAGTGATCAAAAGTTGAGACCAACTGATCAAAGTATCTTGCACCAAAACTGTTGGATTCTGTGACATGGGCTTCCTGGTAGTTATGTAGATGTACTATTTCTACCATTGCAAAATCTGTACCTTTTTTATCTGCGTCTTTGCTAAATTGACGTATTATAGCATGCTATTCCGCAACAATACATCTTCCATGCATTTTGATTTACACAAGTGCATATCAACTGCTATTGTTGACTCGTATCACTCGGGAAAGATAAACTTATCTATTCACTGTTCAGTTTACAAAAATGTTACTCCCTCTGTCTCACTCGGGAAAGATAAAAGTTTTTTGACACTGTCACACTTACGTTTTTTAGACAGAGGTAGTACTATGCTTCTACTGGCTCCCCCTCCCTTCACACCAATGAGGAAGACATTTTATTTTACAATTCTAATGTTTTAACTCTTCTCCGATTCTTGTGGATCCAGGACATCTGGTGTCATATTCATTCCCTAATGACTCTACGAGATGCTGCCCGTGCTGCCTGCGTATCTCATGCCTTTCGAAGTTCTTGGAAATGCTATCCCAACCTTATCTTTAATATTCAAACAATAGTGTTGCCGAATGGCATGGATTTCACCTACAGAGTTGATTACATTTTGAAAAACCACTCGGGCATTGGCGTGAAGACATTCGAGCTTGATTTATCCTGTTGCTACAACCCCAATGTCTATAGATATCTCCATAGGTGGCTTAATAAGATAGTGGTTACACCTGGCATTGAAAAACTTACCCTTGTGATGCCTGAGAGGGAGGCAGTCAGCTTCCCTTGCCATGTTTTGTTTAATAGGGATGGAAGCTCGATGTGGTATCTTCACCTTGCTTACTGTGCCTTCCATCCTACAGTCAGTCCTGGTTGCTTGAGATTGACATGCCTGACGGTGCTGCATCTCGAGTGTGTGAGAATTACAGGGGACGAGTTAGGGTACGTTTTTTCCAGCTGCGTTGCTTTGGAGCGACTGGAACTCTCGAGATGCTTCGATATAACTTGCTTGAAGATACCTTTCCAGCTGCAGCGGCTCAGCAACCTGCAAGTGTTAATTTGCCCCAAACTGCGGATGATAAAGATCGAAGCTCCAAATATTTATAGGTTTCGCTTTATTACATTTGGCCAAGTAGAGGTCTCACTTGGACAATCACTGCGACTGAAGAACCTAGAGATGTTCGATTGCCGTCCCCTCTGTTATGCACTCGAAGAGCTTGCATCCATTGCGCCGAATCTTGAAACTTTTAGCATATATTCACCCCGTGAGGTATATTCTAAAACTCTTTGTGATCTTTTTCTTGGAAGGGAAGTAGGGAACGTTCTGTGATTATTCAGTAGCACTCTTATGCATAGAACAATAGTGATACCTTGGAATATTAATTAACATGTGGCATATTTATGCAGGTGATAAATACAAGAATGGCATTGGCGCCTAGCAAGTTCCTGCACCTGAAGTACCTGAGTATTAGTATTCATGTTCATGGTGACTACGATTATTTCTCTCTAGTTTCTTTTCTTGGTGCCGCTCCCTCCTTGGAGACATTCATACTAAATGTAGGTCACCGTTCACCCTGTCAATATTTTTGAATGCACTCATCATGCAGATATAACAAGTCTCTATGGTCGAACCATTTATTCAAGTATTTAAACTATTTTTTGTATCTTCAGGTACGGACACAGCTAGAACACACTGATGAATTGCTTTCTGAAGACCCCTCACATCTAAGGAAGATGCTAGGATACCACCATGACAAGCTCAAGAAAGTTGAGATATCTTGGTTCTACTCTTCAAAGAGCTTGGTTGAGCTGACGTGCCATATTCTCGAAAACTCAGCATCACTGGAGTGCCTTACACTGGACACCACCGGTGGTGGTCTCCGGTGTTCTGACCGCGAGTTCTGTAAGTGCTCCTTCTTGGAGAGAACCAAGGAGGCCCATACAGCAGTCCTGGTAATCGGAAAATACATCGTTGGAAAAGTTTGCTCTAGAGTTAAGCTAGTTGTTGTGGAGCCTTGCATCCGGTGCCATACCCTTAACCCATAGGTGCATCGTTGTTGTCATTGTGCGCACAGGTACGCCCAGAAGTTTTTTTTTTTTTGAAAGGAAAACTTACTTCATTACACATACGGGGCCAACAAAATCGCTGGCAACTGCTTCAGTTACAAAGTTTGGTACATCTGACAACCACATACATATATCTGGCTCAACCAAACTCGCGCCAAATGACGCTAGCTTATGGGCAGCTACATTACAGGACCTGGGACACCAATTGATAAAAGCAGACTGAAAATAGTACAAGAGTTTAAACTTTGCTTCTCGAAACAGGGCACCGAAAACTGAATTATCGTAGGCGTCTCCGTCAATAGCTTGTTTCAGCACCAATGCATCCGTTTCGAAGATTACATTCCTGCATCCCAACTCACTTGCTCTCTCCACGGCATATAACAGGGCAATTGTTTCTGCTTGAATTGCCTCAGAGAGTCTTGACAATCTCCCTGCCCCTGCTGCTTCTACTCCTCCTTCAGAGTTTCTGATAATGAAACCCCATCCTCCCTTCTTTGTGTCCTTTGTGAAGGCTCCGTCTATATTTATCTTTAGATAATTTTCCTCTGGCGGTTTCCAACAACTATCCTTGGTCGTTGTTTTTTTAGTACATTTCCTCTTAAAAAACTCGTCAGATTCTCTATCATGCTTTTCGAGGGATTCTAGAATTTCAGTTGTACTTCTTATAGCCTCTCCTTTATTAGCTTTATTTCTCTCGTGCCACCAAAGCCACATAAGAATACTTGCTCTTGCACTCTTCCTCTGATCAAGCTCAAAAATTCGAATGAGCACATCTTTCGGACTACAACAAATGCTAAGATTTTCCCTTATATCCTCCATTTGAGCCGCCCTCCATATGTGCTTCACTGGTTTGCATTTGAAGAAGGTGTGCCCTCCATCCTCGTCAGTACGTAAGCATACTGGGCACCATGGGTCTGCTTTAACTCCTCGCTGAATTAGTTTTTGTCTCAATGGCAGACTGTTTCTTGCCATTCTCCATAAAAAGTGCAAGATTTTTGCCGGTAGCGGAAGCCTCCATATTTTCTCCCACTCAAAGGGTAAGTGGTCAGCTGTTGTGCCAGATGCAGAAGCAATACCATGGATAGACTTCCTTGCATCTGTTTCAATGGCCACTCGATAAGCTGATTTCACAGAGAATAAGCCCCTTTTATCAAAGTGCCATGCAAGCCAGTCCTCGTTTCCTTCGCTGATTGGTATTTGCAGAATTTCCTCTGCATCTTTCTCATTAAACGTTTGTTTTATTAGGTCTTCATCCCAATCACCATCTACTGGGTTAATTAGTTCTGAGACTTTGTGGAGGATGACATTCCTTCTTTGGGGAGTGGCAGGTTTTCTACTCTTACCTCGTGGGATCCATGGGTCATTCCATATGTTCACCTTCTCACCATTGCCTATTCTCCAGATTACACCTTCTCTTAGCAGTTGAACTCCTTTAAGGATGCTTCTCCACGAATAAGACATGCCATCCTTTGGCACTGCTCTAATAATCTGACCTGATGGGTAGTATTTCGCAGATAGAACTCTAGCGCAAAGAGAGTTGGGCGCATTTGCTAACCTCCATGCTTGCCTCGCTAACATGGCTCTGTTAAACACATGGAGATCCCTGAAACCTAGCCCTCCATCCTTCTTTGGCAGCATCATATGTTCCCGACTAACCCAATGGATTTTATGTTCTTTGTCCATATTACTCCACCAGTATCTGCAGATCATCTCACTAATCTGGTTACATAAAGTCTTGGTCAGATCAAAACATGCCATTGCAAAGACCGGGACTGCTTGGGCTACAGCCTTTATTAGAATCTCTTTACCCGCCATTGAGAGCATTTTTTCTTTCCATCCTTGAACTTTCCTCCAAATTTTGTCTTTGAGGTAGGCAAATGCCTTTTCTTTTGATCTTCCTATGTACACTGGCAGCCCTAAATACTTCTCTGTTCTTGCCTCCCTTGTAATATGCAATGCTGACATGATCATATTCTTCTGCTGATGTTGGGTATTCTTGCTAAACATTATGGCAGATTTCTCCTTATTGATTACTTGACCTGAGCAACCAGCATATGTCTCCAGGATATGATTTATCTCTATTGCAGTCCTATTTTCAGCTTTGAAGAGCAGTAAAGAATCATCTGCAAAGAGGAGATGATTAATGCTTGGAGCTCTTTTGCATACTTTGATGCCTATTATTTTTCCACGTTCCTCCGCTTTCTGCAGCATTGATGAGAGGCCCTCAGCACAAATAAGAAATAAATATGGAGATAGAGGGTCTCCTTGTCGGAGACCTCTCCCTGGGATGATTACATTCGTAGTATCATTATTCACCTTTATTTGATAACGAACCGTGGTGACGCAGTTCATAATGAGCTTGACCCAGGAAGAGTTAAACCCCATCTTTATCATCATGTCCCTCAAGAAAGTCCATTCAATTCGATCGTACGCCTTGCTCATGTCGAGTTTGAGTGCTGCAAAGCTGGCTTTCCCTCTTCTTTTATTCTGCAAGAAATGAGTCAGCTCATATGCCAAGAGGATGTTATCCGAGAACATTCTCCCCGGAACAAAAGCACTTTGATTCGGAGAGATAATATCAGGTAATATCACCTTTAGTCTATTGGTCAGCACTTTAGAAACTATCTTATAGACTACGTTGCAGAGGCTTATGGGTCGGAGGTCCTTCAAACTCTCAGGTCTGCTTACTTTTGGAATAAGCACCACCATTGTGTCATTCCACCCCATTGGCATCTCTCCTCCCCTCAGTATCCGCAAAGCTTCTTGAGTGATCTTCTCCCCTACTATGTGCCAGTAGCGCTTGTAAAATAGGGCCGGCATACCATCAGGGCCTGGTGCTTTCAAGTCCCCTATTGCGTCAAGGGCTGCTCTCACCTCATCTTCAGAAAATTCAGTGCACAAAATATTGTTCATGCTTTGGTCCACTCTTCTTCCTATGCAACTTAAAGCTTCTTGGCTACTTCCTTCTGCCTGGGCTGTAAACAGAGACACAAAGTAGTCATTGATTAGATTTTTTAAATTCTCATCGCCTTCTACCCAGTCCCCACTATCATTTTTTAGCCGGCGGATTGTATTTCTCTTCTTTCTTTCAGAGGCGAAGGCATGAAAATACTTTGTGTTTTTGTCACCTGATTTAAGCCAATTGACATGTGAGCGTTGCTTCCAATAAAGGTCTCGTTGATGTTCCAGGCGCTCGAGCTTCTCACGTAGGAACAATTCACGAGAGACTTGTAGAGGGGATATTGCACTTCTTCTGACTTCCTCCAACTCCCTCTTTAAAATCTTCAACCTCTTTTCAAGATCGCCCAAGATATTTGTACTCCAGTTTTGAAGCTCACTAGCCACCTTTTGAAGGCCTTGAATAATGTTATTAGTTCCTTGTGCCATTGTCAACTTTCAGGCATTCTCTATGATGGTTTCACAGTTCTCTTCTTCCACCCAATTTGCTTCAAATCTGAAATGTGGAGTGCCTCTTCTGCTTTTAAAATACCTTCCTTCAGTTTCCACTATGATTGGTCGATGGTCGGAATGTCGGGGATCCCCATTTATTACCTTGAAACCAGGAAAACGGTCACACCACTCCATATTTGCCACAGCTCTATCCAGCCTCTCCTTAATGTATTTTTCTGCCAAGTGGCTATGATTTCTCCATGTGAATATATCCCCCTCATAGCCCAGGTCCTGCAAACCACATTCTTCAAGAGTTTCTTTGAATTTGTCCATGTGGGCTTGAATTCTTGGGGGGCCACCTTCTTTCTCATGGCCATACAATATTTCATTAAAATCTCCAACACAAATCCAAGGTCTTTCAAGCTGGGCACTCAGATCCCGAAGCAAATTGAAGGTCCTTTCCTTTTTGTCACTTGCTGGTTCGCCATATATACCTGTAAACCTCCATCTAAAATTATCGTATTCAATTATCTCAATGTCTATGTGGTACTTGGAGAAATTGTGAAGCTCAGCCTTCACTGTATCCTTCCAAAACATTGCTAGCCCTCCACTTTTTCCTTTACAGTCTTTTATTACCATTTCCTTCATACCCAACACCCATTTAAAATGCTTTATTCTCCTCTCATCCAGTTTGGTTTCGGACAAGAAAAGAATATCTAGGTCCTCCCGCTTCTGGATCTCCAGAAGCCCTCGGACTGCCGGGCCGTTACCCAATCCCCGGCAGTTCCAAGCAATGAGTTTCATTTTTCCCTGCCGGGCTGTCCTGGCAGCCCAGCTTCCTTGTCTAAGTTATCTTTGTTTGGAGCTTCTTTC